TTAGACTTTTGGTCAACCTTGGGTTTCTCAAGTCAAGAATGATGATAATATGTGATTTGGATCATGATCAATAAAGAGAAATCAAGAAATAGGAGGTTACTTGTAAAATGGGAAACATTGAAGAATTGAAATTTTTTTAAGTTAAGGAAGATCATGATTTTTGTCCAACTTGCCAAGGCCATAACTTCCAATCCAAGTAACCATTTTATTTTATACAAAGACCAATTTTAAGAACTTTCTATATAATACAACTTTATCCTTGAGGATGAATTCCCAAAAAATGCTTAGATTGAGAGATATGATGCCATAAAGTTGGAGGTTCAATACTTTTTGAACCTAAACACTTAGAGAAATTTTGGACAGAATCTGTCTTATATTGGAGCCAACTTTAGGGTCATTTTTCTCCATAATCCACATTGATTTAAGATAACCTTGAACGTAAAAGTTTAATCATCTTATCTCAGCTTTCCAAAATGTCCAAGAACATTCGTTTACCTTATTTGGACAAGGAGTTATGAATTTCACAACATGCCTTGTTACAACTGTTTTTCAAGACAAATTTGCTACACATTTTTTTGTCACACGATTTGGATAACTTTGAAAAAATAATATCTTCACAAGATCAACACCAAAATGATCATGCACCATGTTCTCTACAAAACATAACAAAATTTTCAAGATTTCTAGCCTTAGCATGTGAGAAAAAATCATTTCAAAACCATGAAGTGAGCTTTTGTCCTCTAGAATTAAAGTGCTATAATTGATGTAACTGGCACACTTGTTGATTCAAAATCCAAGCTGGAGTCCCTCCTTTATCATGGCCAAAGTTCTCTTTCATCTAAGTGATGTAAGTGGCAAGCCTTTGGAACACACCCAAGCCAATGTCCCTCTCTTAGCATGCAAAGATTCATAAAGGAACAAGTGGAATTGCTCTACACTGAGTTAAAGTTTCTTCCTTCATGACATTTCAATTCTCTTATAAAGGAATATGTGGCATTGTTGGATTCCACATATCCTAGTTAAAGCAACTTCCCTTATAAATAAAACCTCAATAATTGTGATAAATAGGTGAGATATCTCCCTTTAGAGATGACATATTCTCTCTCAAATACTCTTTTAGCTTCAATCTTGGGCTTTGAACAAGGCATAAAAACTCATTTAGCTTCAATCTTGTGCTTTAAACAAGACACAAATACTCTTTCACCTTCAATCTTGGCCTTTGAACAAGACACAAAATTCTCTTTTAGCTTCAATATTGGGCTTTGAATAAGACACCAAACATTTTTCCTCTTATAGAATAGGAGGAACTTTTTTGTATAATATGCAATCATTAGGGCATGCATGTATTTTGACATATTCCAAACTCATTTGACACAACATCTTATTTGCCTCATAACAACAATTCGGTAAATTGTTATCTTCTTGTAGCATTTGTTTCAACAAATAAAGCAATTTTGTGAAACTTTTATCCAACCACCCATATTTTACCTTCGTATTAAACAATTTTAATAACGCAGACAATCGTGTAAACTTGGTGCACCCCGTATATAAAGGCGCATCTCTCTTGCTACATAAAGTATCATAAATATGAGCTTTCATATAAGACGATTCTCTAATATCATGGGTCATATCTTTTAGTTGATCATCCATATCTTAATCATCTTCATCCATTTGTGATTTTGCATTTCGATTATTATCCCTTCTCCATGCTACTACATGTTGTATAATTTTGACATATTTCATCACAACAAAGGTGATGAAATATTTATTTCTTTGATTATTTTTTGATATTTTCGCAAACAGTACACGAACAATAAAAGATACACATTATTGTCGGGAATATTTTTTTCGGCGAATTCAGAGAATTCAAAAACTTCTTTCTCATACATCAGACCTAATCTATCAGCTTTCATTCAACTATGATCCATAAAAATTCTAAAATTTATATCAAAAGACTAATGTGAATGACACACTAATGATACACACACAACATCCTAATATGATTATATGCAAATCCAACACCAAAACCTAAAGCATATTCAAAAAATCTGAATAAAACATGAACATGGCAACATGAATAATACACATGACAATGTCAATGCCGAAAATGTTGATTCGTGAAATGCAACAAAAGTCAACATCATTTATCTGTTAAAAAAAGAAACCAGTAACCCTGGCGAAGAACATAAACATTCAGAAGCGTTAGATAGAGAATGGTAAATAACCCTACTGAAGAACATAAACATTCAGAAGCGTCAAAGAGAGCGAATGGTATCGTACTGTAATTCGAAAAGGATGACAATTTTATTTTATGAAAAATAATTTCACAACGGTTGCAAGCTTCAACCGTAGTGAAATATAGAACATATAACCACCGTTGAATGAAATAACCGTAGTTGTTATACTTTAAATTTTTAAATAGCAATAAATGTGAAGGGACACACACTTATTTTTATTAAAAAAATGGAAAAATGTTGATGCTGAAATTCGAAGCTTGTCATCCAAATTCTATTACCACAGTTATTTTTAGAAATTGTGATGAAAAGTTTCTTAATAAAGTAAAACAAAAAACATGCGCGTGAAAAATGTGATATGACTACGGTGGCAAAATGTTCGTTGTAATATTGTGTCACCGAAGATATATTTTCTAGTAGTGATACTCCGACAATCGAAAAACTGTGTTGCACGAGTACCGTTCACTCTCGATTGACAGCGAAGGGAAGATTGAGTTCAACAACTTTGAGTTGAAGGCAGATGCAAATTTAAGTGTTATGTGGAATACATTTTTCTGTTATGAAACAAAAGTTTCAATCAAGCTGATGCGACGATTGCAAGATCGATCGAATATATTATGAAAATGTTAGAACGTTCTCCTGGATGTTGAAATGTAATATTTTATTTATGTTAACGATTACCGATATAATTTTTCATTTTTTATGTTATCAATATTAATTTTATTTTTCATTATGCATCATTCTATTTCTGAGATTGTTTATGGTTCAATATGATCCAAAAATACACACATATATATATATATATATATATATATATATATATATATATATATATATATATATATATATATATATATATATATATATATATATATATATATATATATATATATATATATATATATATATAAAGTTTACAGAGATACATTTTCATATTCAATTCATACAAATACCTAGGATGTGACTTAAAATTAACATGAGTTATGTGTGTTAGAGTGTACCCGGAGATACATCTCCAAAATCAAAGACATTTTGGTGTGGTAGCAATTATTAGATGCCTTAAACAATTTCCTTTATTTATATCTATGCAAATAACTTGTTAGTAGTTGATTTTTTTTTTCATTAATGATTAACTGATTTAGTGTACATTTGTTTACGAGTAGATAGTTTTCAAATCATAAATTTTGTTTCTAACTTTTTTTGTTTTCAATAACTATACTCCAACTTTAGTCATCGCCATCAAAAATAAAATAAATGAACTTTATCAGTCTTTGAATAAAAATCTCTCCAAGATTTCATAGGCCAGTTGCCAATATTCCTTTTGGGAAAGAGGAAAGGATGTAGTTCCTTTTGGAAAGGGCGTAGGGGCATATAGAACTGCAGATGAGATCAATAAAACGTGATTTGATTCTTCGAGGGGGCATACCACCAACAACAAAGTAATTTGGCTTTCAAATCTTGATGCATAAGAAGTTGTAAAATGAAAAGGATGTTATAAATATATTGCTTTCAGTGTCAGTTTAAGACTATTCATGATGCTTTATTAAGTCAGGAACCTGACCAGGGGAAAAAAATAAACTAGGGAAAAAAGAGGCAAGTATATATACATTATATTGATAGTTTTGAGCTGAGAAGAATTTAGAGTGAACTAAGAAAATGGATCAAACAATTTATTGTCGGGTACTCAATCTACGAGGTTATTCATTTTGGACCAAAATCTCCCCCTTGTAAGGAATCCCTGTCAAACAAAATACTAACTCCAATTTCAACAAAGAATTAAAGAAATATCATGAGGATCAGTGAGGACTTTCTTTGATGCAAAGCTTCGTGATGAAAGGAGATATAGCATAAAAATGGAATATAGTTCCATATACGATCTTCAAACCCATCCAAAAATTCTAATTAATCCTTGCTCTAATTCAATACTGTGAATAACAAATGTACAAGTGCATGTTCTTCTGATGTGATAAAGCCTGTATGTATTCTAATAACTTGAACTAGGTCCAAGCAAAGATGCTAGTACCCAGAGAAAGCAAAGAACAAGCAAAGATGCTAGTACCCAGAGAAAGCAAAAAACAAGCAAGCTCTATATTTTGAAGCAACAAGATCTTTGAGTTAATCAAGTCATAAGAATTATAGTGTAACACTAAAAAAGGGCACATGCTATAACTAATTGAAGACCCGAAAAGATAAGGGCTTCCTTTAGCTGGTTTCTTCCGTACCTCCTCATTCTTTGTTGCTTTCTATTTCCATAATTCCTTACTGCCTATTTGAAGTTTCACTATTCCACCAGGAGTCAGTGTAATAAGGTTCCTTTCATTCCTCATTACAGTGCTTGTTGTTTATCATCTCCCTGTAGCGTCACTTGATTTTACTACTACATAATTACACTGATCATAAATTAGTATTACATTTGCTTTGCAATAGACGAAAATTTTGTCTGGCCGTTGCCCTTGCCAAAAAAACTCTTGTATACCTGAGAACCTCAAAACTGGCTCTTATATTATACTTGTAGAGATACCAATGGTCACACAAGAATTGCTCTACACTTGCCTTCTCCTTCTTTAATTTAACTGTTGAACAGCCCATGTAGAGTGAATAGAGGGGCAGTTGATTTAAATTTTAAATATCATCCAACAGTTAATCTGCGGGCAGCCACAAAGCAATTCTTTACAATTGTCAATGACAAAAAATGGTCACTCCTTCAAAGTTATTCCTTCAACACCAATATGTATGTTTTTCACCTCCATGTTGACCTAGTCTTGGTTACCAAAAATTATTACAAGAGCAAGTCCCATTAAGGAAGTGGTGGAATCTCATGTTATCCCTCACAACAATTTTTCTTTCTGTAACTTTGGATGCGGCGCACATTACAGTATGACAGTCCTCGCATATCCTAAGGTTCTTCATAATCTTTATAGTGGAACCAGCATCTGTGCTTAACAGTCCATATGCCAAAGCAAGTTTTTCACTATGTGACATAAGTAAAAGCCTTTTTCCTTCATCATCAATATCATACGGAACAGAATTTAGTTTTGGTTGATATCCATTAGCCTTCAGTCGCTGCAAAAGATCATCTAATGCCTTCTTTATCTCATTAATCTCTGGATGTTTCACATCCCCAGCAAAGAACTCGTGTACAATACCATTCTTCGCTTCAACCCAGCTACATCCCGGATTTTTTCTCAATTGCTTCTCTCTCATCAATTTCCTGACCCTGGATACATCATCCCATCTTCCAGCCAATGCATACGTATTGGACAGCAATAAATAATTCCCCAGGTTATCAGGTTCAAGCTCAAACAAATGGTGAGAAGCAATTTCAGCAACATCAGGGTTTCTATGGATGTGTGATGCTCCAAGAAGTGCACCCCACACACCACCATTGGGCTCCATAGGCATTGTCTGAATAAGCTGGAGCGCTTTTTCCAAGTGTCCTGCCCGGCCAAGAAGATCAGCTATGCAAGCATAATGATCTGCAGTTGGAGTAACACCATAGCATTCCTCCATAGCACCAAAGAGATGCTGACCCTGTTCTACCATGCCGGCATGGCTACACGCCGTAAAAACACCTACAAAAGTAACATGATTTGGTTTTATTCCAGTCTCCAACATCTCATAAAACAATTTGACCGCGGCACGTGCACAGCCATGCACTGCAAACCCAGCAATCATAGAACTGTAAGAAAAAACATTCCTTTCCTTCATTCCTTTAAACACATTATAAGCTTCCTCCACATTACCACATTTAGAGTACATGTCTATCAATGCAGACCCCACAAGAACATTATTTGCAGACCCAAACCTAGAACTCTCAGCAATGCCCCTTATCCAATTAGCATACCCAGAAACACCCAACTGAGCACAAGCAGAAATAACACCAACCAATGTAATCTCATCCGTCTCTACGCCAGCCTCTCGCAACCGTCGAAAAAATTCCAACGCTTTCTTCGGCATGGCATTCTGAGCATACCCAGTAACCATAGAAGTCCAAGCAACTTTATCCTTACCGGGCAACCCATCAAACAACTCCCTTGCGGAATCCATGTCCCCACTCTTTGCATAAGCAACAATCAACTCAGTCCAAGAAACCGCATCCCGGTGCGTCATTTCATCGAACACCTTACGCGCAGAGCATAAAAGCCCGCATTTCACATACATGTCAATAATGGTGTTGCTAACGTATAAATCAGAGACAAACCCAAACAATAATGCGTGAACATGAAGCTGTGATCCTAAAGTGGGGTTTTTCAAGGATGAAAAAAGAGCGGAGAAAGTGAACGAAACGGGTGAAATGTTACTGTCCAACATGGAAGAGTATAAGCGAATGGATTGGAATAAGGGCCCGTTACGAGCGTAAGCGCGAATGAGAGCAGAGTAGAGGAAAGGGTTAGGGGAATGGACCTGTGAGAAGAGAAGGTGAGGGTAGGAGTGAACGGGAAGGTTAGGGAGATTGGTGAGGAAACGAAGGAGGTTGGTGATGACGTAGGAACATTGGTGGAGATTGTTGCGGTAGATGTGAGCGTGGACTTGTTTTGCGTGGTGGAATGTGGTGCAATAAGATTCGATAACTCGCACTGCTTCCCACTCCAAAACACGGATTCGGCCAACCATTTTCTTGTAATAAAGTGCTGAAATTTTTGCAGTTACGGTTACGCATTCACTTCGTAATGTTGCTGCATGCTGAGTTTGTTTGTTAATCAGCCATTAAGCAACAACCAACGGTGGTTTCTGTCTCTGTTAGACTATTGGGAAAGAAAGGAGAGAAATTCCGATTAGTATCTTTGGTTCACATGAGCATTGAAGAGATTTTCAAACTTACAGTCATTTAGAACACAAATTTGGTAACAAATAATAAATCTTCTGATCAACATGCACAGTTAAACAATAATCCTTTTGTCCATAAGAATCTTTCTAATCAAAAAAATTCTTTTAAAATAAAAGTTTTTTTTACCTTTTTAAATCTTATTTTCAAATTAATTGTCATACTAGGTCATTTTATATTAATTAAGAAAAAGTAATAAAAAATATATATCATTGTTTATTATGTATTGGTGTATTTGAATTATCATAAATATAGAGTGAGAAAATAATAAATTGAGAGTATTAATTAGAAAATCATAATTGAAAGATAAACATTAGTTTAAAGGAAAAGATATTCGGTTTTCGTCGCCACCAAGGTGATAATTAAAATGAGAAGATTAAAGTCAGGTGTTTGATAATCATATTTTACTCTAAAAATATCTGTTAAATAGATTTTACTCTAAAACTAACTTATATGTAGATATTCTAAAGAGAGAAAATATTCAAAACCGCCCATTTGATCTTGCTACTACAAATCTCTGAGATGATTGCAAGCGCAAAAAAAAAATTGTCATTGGAAAACAGATCTCTAGAATCTTGCATCAAACCTAGACATAGAAAATAAAAAATCTGATTGAGAAATAAATTTTACAATGTATTTTAATATTATGTGTAAACAATGTAATTTAAAAATAAATAAAAAATAGTTTATTCACCTTGGTTTTTTTCACTTAGGAATATTTAAGCGTTTTTTTTACTATATACAACGCCTTTAAACAAATCTTTGTCGTACATTTAATGTTTATCCACGCTTAAGAATTTGTCGTTGACAATCCACGTGAAATTTAAGAGACATTCATCATAAAAGCATGTTGAATATTGAATATTTATTTTATTTATCTAACATTTATTTTATTTTGCTTCAGAATCAAATGCATGCAAAGCCTTAGTGCAGTTTTAATTCCACCGAGATGATAAGTGACAAATTTTCATATCACTCTTGGTTACCTAAAGTATTATGTATTTCGTGTCTAAAATTAAAATAAGCTATGATTTATGTAATCAATGATGGTTTATGTATCACCATGTTGTTGAATAAGCTATGATTTCCATTTCCATTTTGTTATATTAACTAATGTATTGTGTGATCCTTAGCTTCCATCACTTGTAGCATTTTGTTCAAGTCACAAATAATTGTTCTACGCACTTATGTTTTGTGAAAGATTAATCTTTTTTTTTAAAATATTGGTTTGTTTAAATAGGTTTATGTAATCAATGAGGTATAATTTCTATCAACTTTTGCATCTCAAATCAATGAGTCCTGATTTTCAGTTATCATGTTTTCTTTTTTTCTTGGTGACTTCTGGTATATTATGAGTTTAATTTTGACACTGTCATTGTAATAAAGTATTAAATATGTTTAGAATTGTTGCAGAAGACTTATCCAGCTTGTTTTTTTTTGGTTCTTCATGAATTTAATGACATTGTAATATTAATCTTTGCCATAAAAATCATGCCATTTCATTCAAGAATATTTGTTTGAAATTTGAATAGATTGTGTTATTTTAAAAAGCTTGTGAGTGTATCATGTTTTAACTAATAAATAACGTTTAATGATCTCTGCATTCATGCGTTTAAATTTAGCCTTTTCATTTTTTGAGTTTTGAATGCAACAAAAGCTTCCCTATTTGCGCATCAAGATTGCGTCACGCATAATTATTCTTCTCTTTGTTAGTCATGAAATTAGACTAGTCATTTGCCAATTAACTAATAATTTGTCAATGCTCAAATTTACAAAGTAGTGTTTTTTGTAAAAGGAAAAAGACTATAAATTAAGAAATGCTACCAGAAATGCCATAAAAAATTTACAACTAGTTCAACCATAGCATCAAAATAAGAACAGGAAAAGGCAACAAAGAAGAAAACTAAGCTACACCCAATAGAAGTCTTCTCGCACCAAAAAAGAAAACCTCTGTCATGTCAGGAAGAATAAATGAACACCAATACAAAACTACCAACACTAAAATGAAATCCTCTGCAATGCCAGAATGCCAGGATGAACAAGAGAATACCAAAAAAAATCCTAAAAGTTTCAATTCAGACACCAAGAAGCGAAGAAAAAAAACAGCAGCAGTCGAGGCCAAACAAATCCCAACAACTCAGAACCAAAGCACGGACCAGCAGGGGCTAAACAGAATCACCAAAGCACCACTGCACTGCTAAGGAGAGTAACACAACCTGCAGCATATTAAGCCAGCAACAAACCAAACCCGCCTCCAAGAATAAGTCGATGGGGTTCCAGACAAATAAAATAGGACAAGCCCAGCCGAAAAGCTCGAAAGAGCAGTAGAACTTGCAACAGTCAAAACAACAAATTGCACCTGCTTTAAACCAGAGAACCGAAAATTCGAGGAACAAAACAATGACAGTACCCCTAGACTAAAAATAACCAGAACCAATACCGATAATAAGGAAATATGACATTGTAATGCCTATGCTGGCCCTTGGATATACATGCCATTGAATTGTATTGATCTTCAAATTGATTGACTTTGTTGATAGTCACCTTCACAAATAATCATTTGCATCCTCAAATAGTTTTTCGAAGTCAAGATCCTCGTTACAAAATAGTTTGTCGTTCCTTGCTTTCCAAATACTCAACATACACGTGAACCAAATTACGCCTACTTTTGAGTATGACTCCCTTCCACATCCAACCATCCCTTCGAATTGAGTTAAGTGCGTCAATCCATCTGTATGCAGGACCGTGTCTATCCTCAGCCTATTGCAAACGATCCGCCACAGACCTACAAACAACGGGCACTTAAAAAAACAAATGAGTTATTGTTTCAACACTCCCGCAATCTCCGACACAGGTGAGCGCATCTCCCCCAATTATACGTTTTTTGAAGAGGTTATCTTTAGAAGCTATTCTATCTTGAAATATCCTCCTAGAAAGGCAGAACACTTTCAGAGGAATCCAATTGTGCCAAGCCTTAGACCATAATGGATTAGTGATGTTGGAAGCAGTAGACAGTAAATCCCTATATGATTCTTTAACATCATAGGAGCTTGCATTTTCCCACTCACCTAATTATATACCTTGTACATCATTCTACCACTATGATCTTCTATTACTATTAACTCCACTAAAGTCCTCAAGTCTTCCATATTTGTTGATCAAAGCTATATACTATAAACCCCTCCTTTCCGATTTAATTTTCCACTTCCATTTACCTAAGAGAGTCATATTGAAAAATTTCAGATTTCTAACACCCAACCCCCATTCATCTAAAGGCCTGCACACTTTCTCCCATTGAACCCAATTTATTTTCCTCTCGTGCTCATTCCCACCCCACAAAAACGATTTGAAAAAATATTCGAGCTTCGTGATTACACTTGTCAGAGCTTTGAAGAACGAAAGAAAGTAGACCGGAATCGCATGAAGAACAGATTTAAGAATCACCACTCGGCCTCCAATTGATAAATGTTGGTTCTTCCATGTTGCTAATCTCTTAGAATTAGCTCTGATTGGGAGACCGAGGTATTTGAAAGGAGTATGACCCTTCTTACAGTACAGCATGTTAGTTGCTGCTTAAAGCCACCTTTTCTGGATATTAATAATACCCACCAAATACTCTTGTAAAAGTCTACCTTAAGACCTGACATAATTTCGAAAAGCAATACGTTCGCCTTTATCAATAGGATATTTGACCAACTTTCTCCCCTATAATTAGAGTACCGTCGGCATATTGTATGTGCGGAAACTGATCTCGACTGTTCTCGAATTTGAACCCGCTAAATTTACTGCTATCCACCGTTTTTTTCATTAACAAACTAAAACCTTCAGCAACAATGAGAAATAAGAATGGTGAGATAGGATCTCCTTATCGTAGTCCTCGCTCCATTCTGACTTCCTTGGTCGGGCTGCCATTTACTAGTACTGAAACGGATGAAGTTCTGAGACATTCCACAATCCACCTTCTCCATTTGTCGTGAAATCCCATATTTAACATCACAAAATCGAGAAAGTTCCAATCCACCGAATTGTAAGCCTTCTCAAAAGCCAACACATTAAAACTTACTTTTACCTTCTCCTAGCTTCATCAACAATTTCATTTGCGATTAAAATCCTGTCTAAAATCTACCTGCCAGATATGAAAGCTGATTGAGGCTCTGATATCACCGTACCGTACCCATGACTTTTTTTATTCTGTTAGAAAGAACTTTAGAGATGACCTTATAGATACACCCTATCAATGAGATAGGCCTATAATCCAAAATTTGCATCGGGTTTCTCTTCTTTGGAATCAGAGCAATGAAGGAACTATTGGTTCCCTTAACTATTCTTCTATTTTCATGGAAATTCGGTCATAACTCTCAGGAAGTCCTGTTTGATATCATCCCAAAAATCTCTCACAAAACCAAAGTTCACTCCATCCGGGCCGGGACTTTTGTCGCTATCACATTCCCACACAGTTCTTCGAACTTCATTGTGCTCTGCTCAAATACTTCTGAAATTTAAATTCTCTGGTATCACTTTAGCTCCACATCCTGAATATTGACGACTAAAGTGGTCAAATATCACATTTTTAATCTCCTTTGCCTCCATTACCCTTCTTCCATACACAGACAGGCTTAAAATATCAATATTTTTTCTTCTCTTATTTACACAACGATGAAAATGCTTAGTACTTGCGTCTCCGTCCTTTAGCCATCTTGATCGTGCCTTTGGCCATAAGATTTTACAATTAAGGCTTGAAAGGTCATGAATTTTCATAGACATTTCTCTCTTAAATAGTAACTCCTTT